GACAGGAAGTAATGTCCAGTGCTTTACTGTTCATTATGTAATTACTTAAAATTAGCTCTTGTTAGATCAGTTTTGTGTTTGCATTTTTAATAGAAAAGCCTTACTTAAAACACTTTATTTGCTTGTTTCTAAACTGCAAGTCTGGAAACACAGTTAAATAAAGAAGAAATGGAAGAGTATAAAATTATTCACCCAAAGGTAATCTTTATTAACATCTTGGTGTGTTGTGCCCATCTGATATCTTAGCTCCAGATAACTGCATCGTTGATTTTTATTATCAATTATATGACACATAAACTGTTTATGAAATACACACCTGCAGGGGAAAACCATCTCATAAAGAGATACTGATTGTTTCAGTTAAAATGATTTTCCCTTGACCAGAGAAACAGTTTTATAGGTTTTGCTTTTAAATTAAGCAGAGAGGGAGAGGGAGAGACAGAGAGAAAGAGGGAGCAAGGAAGAGGGGGAGCGAAGGGGGTGGGGAGAGAGAGGGAGAAAGGGAGACAGAGAGAGAGGGAGGGAGGGAGAGAGAGAGATGCCAGGCAGTAAACATTACATCCAGAGTGAACGGCTGCAAACGCTCTCTCTCCTGGCACACTGTTTCTTTCACTGTCAGTTCTTTTCCAACACCACCTAGGAGTGTATTTGCTCCTTTGAATGAGTGTGTCTAATCTGTACTATTCTTCTGCAATAGAAAACCCACCACATAGAGTTGAGGAAGCAGCTCTGGTTCAGGTTCCATGGTGCCTGGTACCCTTCCTTGTTCTGGGTCTTAGTGTAGTGCCTCACATCCAGTGGGGCACAAGAACCAAGTCTCTACCAGGGTACTTCAAATATGACATGGAAAATGGAACTTCACTTCCTTCTTAATTCTGCTTTTATGGGGAACTTTATGAGGAACCCAAGTTGTGTGAGTAAAGATTCTTACCATTGGTATTAAGAACTGTGTGACCTTGAACCAGTCATTTGAACTCCTGGATTATCTCTAATGTCCTTCCAGCTCCAGCAGCTTATCATTCTGAGTTTCCTCCTTGAATTTTTGATTATGTTGCTGTGTGGCTCTTTACCTGATATGACACATTTTCATCATTGCCAGCCCCTTCTAAGTGTGAAAATCAGCAGCCACCTTTTCTTTAGCCTTTCATATAGGAGATACACTTCGGCTGACTGAGTGATTCTCTGGGTTATTTTCCTCTTGTGAGGCATGCATACTTGTTGAATGACCTGATTAATGAGTTGTTGAAAGGAGACAGTGAGCCTATAGTGGGGCCCTGACCAACACGAGGTTTCTGGATTCATTGGACAGTGCAGTAGAATCAAGAACATTTCTGAGCTGACAGCTTTCTTATATGCTTAACAGTAAAACATTCCTGCTGTGAGTACAAGAAGTAGAGTTTGTTCACGAAATATGATTTACAAATGCATTGAGTGTAAAGGCAGTGCTACTTAATAAGCTTGAGTGTTGCACAGGGCAGCCGTGACCTTGACTAGCCTTTAGACAGAGTGGGAAGGTAGCCCTTCAAAGGCCGCCTGGGGTTGTTTTTGCAGAGTGGATGTGTGGAGGTGAGTGCTCCACTGGCCATGAAGCATCAGCATCTTGATCTGTTCCCATTCTGCAGGACCAAAAGACTAGAACTCTTTCCTGTGGCTGGGTCTACTGGCTCTTCAGGAGTATTCCTGCCTGAATGACTTCAGGGCATTACAAAGAGTTGGTTTTTCATCTGCTTTCCCAGGCATAGAGAAGTTTCTAGACACTGTGGCATGATTCCCAAGGTCCTGTGTTAATCTTGTGCTGATGTGTTGTAGTGCACCTGCAGGTCAGATGCAAGCCATCTGCCTTCTCAGTTACACTTCATTTTCTAGGCTACTTTCTACATCCGTACTCAGTATACATTTGTCAGAGGTTTTGTTTAGGATTAAAACATCGTCCAAAGGATTTTAAACGGAAATCTTGCTTGTGCCTATTTTTAGAACATGTAGATTTTCATCTAACAGACCATTCTTTTGTAAGAACTTCACTTTTGTGTCTGCACCTGTACAGGACAAAACATGAGTTGCTTTCAAATTAACTCCTTAATGGTTGATTACATTTTGCATTTCTTTTTTTTCTCCTCGTTAACAGAGTTTATCTTGTGGTCAGGTGTATTTTTTTTTACTTAAACAGACCCTTTGTCAGGGTGGGCAGTTGACTTAGAGATTAGAACTACTGTACCCTGCATTGGTGCCTGAGTTTGATACCCAGCACCAGCTCCTGACTTCAGCTTCCTGCTAGTGAACATCCTGAAAGGTGACTTACTCATATTGGGAGACCCATCTTGAATTCTGGCTCCCAGCCTCAGGTGTTGAGGCATCTGGAGAATAAACCAGTGCAGGGGCACTCTGTTTCTCAAATAAACAAATTGGGAAAAAGCTTTTAAAAAAATTTACATTACATAAGCAAGAGAGTATGTTTTATTTCCCTAGTTATCTATTTTAAAAACTGTTTTATTGAAATGCAGTTGACAGGCAAGAAATTACATGTATTCATTTTTAAATGTTTTTCACAAGATATTACTAGCCCTTTTCGTTTTTTTAAAGATTTTTTTTTTTTTATTATTATCTGAAGGTCATAGCCAGAGAGAGGCAGGCAGAGGTTCTACATCTGCTGGCTTACTCCAAAATGGCCACGATGACAGGAGCTGGGCTGGTGTGAAGTCAGAAGCCCATTCAAATGAAAGGGTTGAAATTCCAGCAGAGTGCTGATTGAATGCCAGTGTGTGTCCGTGGACACGTGTGGAGGCCTTTGAGTGATAGAAGATTCCAGGGAAATAATCCAATTCCAGAAATAATGTGTCCCCAAAGCATGAACAAGAGCTGTGCAAGTCTTAATTTTTCTCTTATGGTGACTTGGAGATGGCATCTAGTCATCTCTGTTGTTAGTGAAAGCATAATTTAACTTTCTATTGAAATGGAATCAAACAGTATGAACTATTGCACAAGAAAAAGACCGATAATGGGGTTTAATAGTAGATAAATATATGTCTTGACTGTTCGCAGTTGAAAAAAGACAATAACAAATAAGCAAACGACTAACAAACAACCCAGGACAAGCCAAGCCAGGCATTATGTATTGGCAGTAGCATCAAATATTTGCCACCATGTTCAGAAAGAGAACACTTATTTGGTGAGAATGTAAGTTAGTAAGACCACTTTTGAAAGGTTTTAAGCGGCACCTAATACAACTGAATGCACGTGTCCGCTAAGATCCAGCAGTTCCTTCCTTATGATCTATGGAGATGTACACATGCAAGGAGGCCTCTACAAAGATGCGCACTGCAGCATCACTTGGAAGGTGAGGAAATGAAAACAACTTGACCTTTGCCCTGTGTTCATCTTCTCCTCCTCCCTTTCATATATATACGTTTATACACACTTACATCGTGTCACCTTCCAAACCTTTTGTATTTCTGAACCATGGCACCATGGCATTTTACCCTTTCTTAAAGGCATTGAAAAAAAAAGCTCTGAAGCAGATGTGGAAGAGTGTTAAAACATTGGATGATGCTGATGGGCACATAGAGATCTACTTTCTGAACTTTTGTGTACTTAAGGAATATAAAAAATGGGAAGTAAACATGAAAAGCTTAAAAAGAAATATGGCATGATACTCTCCTTTGCATTCCTTTCCTCTTTTTAGATATTTATTTGAGAGAAAGACACATGCACACATGCAGAGTAGAGAGGAAATGCTCCCAGTTCCTGATTTGGCTTGGGCAGGGTTGGGGCTAGAACCAGGAATACAACCCAGATCTCCCTGTGGGTGTCAGGAGCCCAGTAACTTGAGCCATCACTGTTGCCTCCCAGGCTCCCCTTTGTCAAGAAGCTGGAATTGGAGTTGGAGCTGGGGCTCAAACCCAAGCCCTTTGGTATGGGATATGGCATCCTACACACCAGCTTCTCTTCTCTTTTTACAGCCTTCTAGCTCCTTCCCTTAAGCCCAAGCATCCCGTATAATTTAGATCTATCACATGTTTTAGGCTCTCTTCCTCACATGGTTTGAAATGTCTCCAAGGAATCTGTTCTGAGTTTTTGCATACATGCCCTTGCCTTTAGTGACCCATGTTCAGTGCCACATCCTGCTTGTTGGGCTCATGGTGTCAGTTATTTCCCAGCTCCATGGATTGTAATAGGAGTTTGATTGACAGTGGGAGCTTCTGTGTTTGCTAGGCTGGTTCTACTGTTACACCATGTCTCTGTCTCAGTATGTCAGATATTCAGATTGGGAGGAGTATTTGTTTGGGTGTATGGTAGGTAGAGTGCCAATTAGATCATGCACTTCTAGCCAAGAATTCCCAAAGCATGTCGTAGTTAACAGTTTTTAGTCCCCCAGAAAATGGAGTAGGGTGTCTGCTCCTTCTGCCTGTCTCGCTGCCAAAATGGTCTGTCTGCTTGTGTCAGACTCACTTTGTGTGTACATACTTCAAGTTCCCTATTTTTTTTTTCATCTGCCTCTTTTTGGTAAACAGAAGACTCAGAAACTTCCGCTGCCCGGTCTCTCTATGACAAAGTGCAAATTTAGCACAGACCCGAGCCAGCTGTGTATATATAGATATGGTTCTTCATACAAAGGAAGGGTTTGCCTGCCTGTCTTCTGGAAAAGCCTGGGTCTTTGCACTTCTCATACTTCTGAATCTGTTTTCAGAAAGACTATTTGGAATTGGAGGTGATGGGTGAAGGAAAAAGATCTCCCTCTTTGTGCTGCTTGGAGTAGCTTTAAAAATGAGGCAGATGAGTCCATTTCTGGTGTGTGTTCATCTTACTGTGGATGGTTTTGAGTTCTTTACTCTCCTGGCATTCATGGCAGTTATAAAGACCTGTGTGCCATTTCATCAAGCTTTTGATCATCACAGATCTAGGACAAAACTCAAGACCAGATACAAATACTGCAGGGCCAGAGGCCAGCCACTGTGCCCGGATGCTTCTTTGGGTCTGGTCCTCTTGGGCCGGCCAAGAGAGTTAGGCTTGAAGCTGCCAGCCAGGTTCTGTGATTGGCCTAGAGGTCTGGGCCAGGGCTTCCAAGGCTCGCAGATAAGCTGGAACTCCTAAGGCTTCCACGGAGTGTTTGTTTCTCAATTCAGAGATATTTGTTCTTGTCAGTTGACTTCCTGCCCAGGCCAGGGCAGAATTGGGTGGGGTTGGGGAAGTATTCACTAAGACATTCACTTCATGTCACTGGTAGTTTTCACAGCCATTTAATACCTTAAGTGTCATGATTTCCCACTTCTCTGTTCTTGTTTTCATCCTGATGTTCTAAATTTGGAAACTGATGTATCAACTACAAATTTAAGGTGAGAGGACTGGATATTTCCTATTTGGGAACTCCAGTATCTCCTCAGAGTTAGGCATATTCATAGCGTGCTCATCTAATAATTTCTAAGTCTATACTTACAGAGTATGGCTCAGTGGTTTTAATGCATGTCCCAATGTCACTGTCATTTTCCTTTCTCCTTTCCTTTTTTTTGTAACTTTGGATGGTTTCTAGAGTCATGTATTGGCACTACTTTGCATCAACTTCCTTCATAGTTCTTACCCCATATTTTCTATTTTTTTTTAAAGTAGTGTTTTGTTTTTCCCTTAGGCTCTGCCATTTGTGTCTTAAGGTATTTCAAACATTAAGCTGAATCTCCATCAGATTCTTCTGTTATCTCAAGCCCTTGCTGACTGATGCATCTGCTGATGCCTGCTGATGGTCAATTGTTTCCACATGGGTCTTGTGGTTTAGTTTGAGTTCCTCTTCTGTGGAGATGTAATCTGTGGATGTCCCAGGTTGCCTGAATTGAGGGCATGGCTCTTTAGCTGGGTTTTATCTCTTCCTCTCTGTACCTTGAGTATCATTGGTCAAGAACCAACTTTTATGCCTATAATCAGCATGGAAGTTCCTAGACTGTGTGGGTATTGTGACTTCTAAACCCTAAACCTCAGAGGGCAAACTCTGGGCATGATCCAGGCGGACATCTTTATTTTCCCCTTCCAAGTGTCCAGGCCCTGGCATATCGTTGCCACTTGCCGATGTGTTTGGCTGTTCTTCAAGCCCACCATTTCTCTTCGAGCATCATTCTTCAGGAGCACTAGGAGGGTCTTTGTGTACGTGAAGCCTGAGTGCTGATTCTGTGCCCACCCACCCTCCCCAGCAAGTGCTGACCCCCTGATCCCAGGTATCAGCTTTTCTGCATTGCCGTCTTTGCTTCTCAATTTTACTCTCCATTTCTAACTGCGTGGGTTTCCTTTCCGTGAGTGCTTCTACAAGCATATGGGCTGCATGCATGTTTTTTTTCGTTAGGATTTCTTAGGGATTAAAGTGAAAAGGTGTTTAGGCTATAAAGGCAACTTCGAAGATGATGTTTTGCCTTCATTTTTGTGAAGGAAATTCAGGCTGGGAGCCAGCGCAGCTAATTCTCTGACATCCGTTTCCTGTGTTGGGAAAGTCATACAGCCTGTCCAGGCTCAGGTTCCTGATCTTTTAAACACAGCGAGCAAGACTGCAAAAGCACACAGTTGTAAAAGGTATATTTTCCCTGATAGGGATATTACAGACCTAGTAGTAGGACAGAGAAGAAGGTATTTTGAAAAAAAATAATGAAACCCTCCCTAATGTCAGATAGGCTTAGACCCCTTAGGGCATGCCATTGGACCAGAACTCATCGTTAGTAGTGTTGCTACTTGTTCTTTATTTTCTCCAGGGTTTTATCCTTTCTTCTGTCATTGCACCACTTGCTCCATTAGTTCAGCTGGTGGCAAATGGAGCGACCTTGTACCTCGGCAGGGGATGTACTGTGATCTGAGCAAATTCCACCATAGCGAGCGTGATGACCCATGTGGCTGTGTCACCCACCCCTCCACGCAAGGTTCATGTGTATCCTCAGGTTCCTGCTAGAGAGTCCGTGTCAGCAATCCTGTGCCAAAAGCGGAGTGACCTGTTCTTTCATTTGGGTCTTAATGACACGTGTGAGAGTTTATATCATTTTGCTGCTTCAGGAAAGTAAATGAGTGCAGCCGGATTACAGTTCTTCCATGCAGGACCCTGTTTGTGCTCTTTCTCTGGAAGAAACTTTTTGTCCTTCCTTCCTTCCCCCCTTCCCTTCCTTCCTTCTTTCCCCCTTCCCTCCCTCCCTCCCTCCCTCTCACCCTCCCTCCCCTCCCCCTTTCCTTCCTTTCCTTCCTCCCCCCTTTCCTCCCTTTCCTCCCTCCCCCTCCCTCCCCCTCCCCTCCCCCCTCCCTCCCCCCTTTCTTTCCTTCCTTCCTTCCTTAGACTTATTTATTTGGAAGCTAGTGCTGTGACATAGCAGGCTAAGCCTCTGTCTGAGGTGCCTGCATTCCAAATGGGCACTGGTTCGTGTCCAGGTTGCGCTGCTTCTGATCCAGTTCTCTGCTTAAGCCGGTCTCTTGCCTCTCATTCTCTCTGTAGCTCTGTCTTTCAAATAAAAATATTTATTAAACATTTATTTTCAAATAAGAAAGATTTTTTTAGGATTATGGAGGAAGAAAAGGAGTGATAGAGAAGTCCTGCATCCACTGGTTCACTGCCCAAGTGGCTACAATGGCTATGACTGGGGAAGGCCAAAGCCAGAAACTAGAAATTTCATCCAGGTCTCCCAGGTTCAGAAATATCTTAGGTCATTTTCTGCTTTCACCTGTGCATTTGCAGGCAGCTAGATTAGAAGCAGCCAGAGCTCAGCTGGATGCTGGCACTGAGGGTGGTGGCTTAATCCCTTATGCCACAACGTTGCCCCTGGAAGGGACAGTCCAGCAAATATAATTGGCCGGAAGGTATTGGAAATATCTCAGTAATATTAAGAGGACTATTGGCATCTATAATCAAAAATTTTTATAGTATGATATCATAGAACACCCCCCTTTTTATATTAGAAACTTTGGCTTGAACAAGCTGTGTTATGCAAGGGCCCACGGGTTCAGCACAGACACTTAATCAAAGCCCCACCAGGTCTTCAAGGCAGAGACGGATGTTGGAGGCTTTTATTTGAGGCCAAGTTTTCAAATAGAGCATTGGCTTTGCTTGGGGTCAGATGAGGTCATAACTTGGGTTCAGATAGTCATTGTTTAAATCTCTTAAGCAAGGTTTCATGTGTTTAACCAAACCCTGAATCAGATCCACTTCACAGAAGAACATATAATTACATAAATTGTTTTCCAAAACTCAACAGACATTTCAAATTTGATGCAGTGATGATTCAAAGGGAATATGAGTCTAACATAGAATATGCTTGTAAAACTAAAAATATTAGAAATATTTTATGGAAGTCTGGTCTCATTTAGGTGGTTCATTGCACAAATGAACTCACCTGGTTCTCAAATAAGCAAACGTGTTTTCAAAAGTCAAATGTTTATCTTCAAAGCTGGTGTGTAACTACAATAGGATTGACCCTAGTTGCCTGTCTTACTGAGTTTATTATTTGACAGTTGTGTGGCTTGCCTGATAGCCACTCATCTGTAGTAATTGCCTGCAGTCATCCCAGGCAGCATAAATTTCCAACTAATCCAAAGGCTGCTTTTTATTCATTTAGTGTTTATCCACTTAGTGTTTCATTTGTTCTTTCTTAAATCTGATTTGCCAGACTTTCTACTGGTCTAAAGATCCAATTTTGTCATGTCCCCTGCTTGCCATCTGCTCTAGGAGATAGTGAGTCATTTAAGAGCAATACTCTGAAAGAGGCAGAGGGTTTACCTCATCAGAAAATAGAATGATGTCCTTGGGCTAATCAGGGGCTGTTAGGGTGATTATATAATCAAGTGATAACAGGAATGTGAAAGTCAACACTGAATCCAAGAGTTTCAAGACTAAGATGCCTGTTAGTTTCAATCAAAGTCTTGAAGGCATGATAGACAGGCTTTGGTTACCATTGTCACCAAGTGGTCATGGACGTTTACGGCAGAGGCTGTGAGCATGACCTTGTTCAGGGAGTCAACGTGTGCCTCGTGCCATGTGTGGTGCTGCTGTGAGAACAACGGGGAATAAGACCTGGCTGTTCCTCCATGGGGCTTGAAGGAGGGTGGTATATGTGCACCTGTGCTGTTGGGAATAATGGCTGCGTGTGCACCGCATCCTGGCTCTTGCCTCCTGCCTGACTCACGCTATCTGATTCCTCTTATTGCACTTTTCAGGTGGATATTGCTATCTCTGATTTAAAGATGGAGAGGTTGCATTTTTCCTTGTATGATAACATACTGTTGCACATTAATGAAGTATGTTAAATATCTTGTCAAGGACATTGACTGGTAAAGGTCTGATCTTGGCTCTTATATGTACCCTGATGTCTTAAGGAAATTCTTTTAATTGAAAAGAAAAATTATTCGTTGGGGCTGGTATCATGGTGTAGTAGGCAAAGCCTCTGCTTGTGGCACTGGCACCCAATATGATTACCAGTATGAGTTCCAATTGTCCCACTTCAGATCAAGTTCCCTGCCTCTGTTCTGGGAAGCAGAAGAGGTCCTGGGGCCGCTGTACCCTCGTGGGAGACCCAGGAAATGGAGTTTCATGCTTCTGGCTTTCCATCAGCTCAACTCTGACCACTGTGGCCATTTGAGGTATGAACCAGCAGATGGAAGATATCTGTATCTCCTTTGTCTCTGTAACTCTGCTTTTCAAAAAAAAAATCTTCACAAAAATTATTTTACTTGAAAGGCAGAGTTAGGGTATGGGGGAGACAGATTGATTTCCATCTACTGGTTCTCTCCCTAAATGGCTACAGTGCCAGAGCTGGGCCAGTCCAAAGCCAGGAGCACAGAACTCCATTTGGGTCTCACATAGGAGTGGTACTGGCCCAAGTACTTGGGCCATCTTCTATGTTTTCACAAACACATTAGCCAGAAGAGGGTTGGATGTGGAATAGCTGAGACCTGAACCAGTGGTCATAGGGGATGCAGGCATTTCAGTTGGCAGCTTACTATGGGGCCATAACACAAGCCCCATTAAGGAAATTCTTAATTTGAATCACAATGTTCTCCTCTCAGTTTAAATGTAAACCTCCTTAGAAATGCCATTCCCATTCCATCATTCGTAAATCGCAGTCACTTAATCTCATTAGCCTGCCTTTTTTTTTTTATATCTATTTATTTTTATTGGAAAGGCAGATTTATAAAGAGAAGAGACAGAGGAAGATCTTCCATCTGCTGCTTCACTCCCCAGTGGCTGCAACAGCCAGAGCTGAGCCAACTGAAACCTAGTAGTTAAGAGTGTCCTCAGGGTCTCCCATGCGAATGCAGGGTCCCAAGGCTTTGGGTCATCCTCCACTGCTGTCCCAGGCCACAAGCAGGGAGCTGGGATGGGATGTGGAGCAGCAGGAAAACGAACTGGGATCTTCGTGGATACAGCGCAAGGATTTTGCCACTGTGCTATGATGCTGCTTTAATTATAGCCTTTATCATTATCTTAGAAAGATAGTCAATCCTTGAAAGCTTCGGACTGTGCTATTTAGAAAGTTTTTTTTTTTAACTCTGTGGAAAGTTTGAAAATAAAGTGCATCATCCAGTGCATGATGATCCATCCTTGGCTTGAGCTGATAAACAAGGACCAGGCACAGAGAACAGACTCCATCACCCATAGGCTGGAGGGCTGTGCTCCGAGAAAACGTGTGATTCAAACTCGGGTGAGCAGGTGTATGGCTGTCACGCTCTTCCACAGGTACTAACCTTGGGGTGAGTGACACTGTGTCTGCCAAAGGCACCTCCAGTGCCACTGACCCACTGTGTGTGTTTGACATTGTTTCAGGATTCTGAGAAACGAACCCCTCTTCACGTGGCCGCGTTTCTGGGAGATGCAGAGATCATTGAACTCCTGATTCTGTCAGGTAAGGAGCTGCTGCTCTCCAAGGTTAGCTGCAGATCAAACTGTGTCTGTTGCACCAGTTGAGCAGATTGACTGCTGCATGAATCCGGGCTAAATCCCCTTGTTATGTGCATAGGGGGCTTATCTGATGGGCAGTTTCATCTCTACAGCACAAGAAATTGTTATTGACAAATGGTTTCTTTAATAACTCTTTTGTATTGCTTTGAGTTCTGGCTGTTGACTGTCTTGTGAGGCCTGGCATGGTAGATAAACTCAGTATATTTTTTTTACTTAAAAAAAATCAGTTTAAAGTTTATATGAATTTTGCACATGTGCATACTATATATACATAGTATATATGCATATATGTAAATATACTCAGTGTAGTTTGTGTACACACAGAAGCTGTTATAGGAACATGCAGTATGTTTACTCTTTATGTGTATGCAGTTAATAAGTATGTCTATTGCATATATTCATTTGTGCTGGAAAACTACTAGGTTTAGCTTATGGATGCATAAGTAGATCTGTAATAAAAGTTGTGAAAACCTGGAGGGAAAAGGAGGAAGTATGTCAGCTCTGGCTAGTGGTTACCTCCAGCTAGGCAGGTCCAGGGAGAAAAGTCTTCAGTGAAGGTATGAAAGGGACCACATGAACTCTATGTGAAATATTTTTGTTTTAAGTTGGAAGCAATTAGGATAAGTATGTTAAGACTGTTGTGTGTGTGTGCCTAATATCTTTGTGCTATTATTTCCATGGTTTTAAAAATGTCATCAGATTTTAAAATGCCACTGCTCTGCTTTGCTCTTTGGAATCCTGTGTGCTCACAATCTCTTACCGAGCAGCTTTCCCGAGCTTCTTTGTGCTTTCCTGAGTGCTCGCCGGAAGAATTGCTGAGTGCGTCTGAGCACATGCGTGTGTCCTTGCAGAAAGACCAGCTGAATCCGTGCACCTGCAGTGCTGCCAGTGTCTTGCGGTAGCTGTATGCAGACTGGTGGCCTTTTTTTTCTTTCTTCTTTTTTGTTTGGAGAGAGAATAACCTGGAGGAAATGCCTCTGACCCATTAGAAGCTTTTGCCTTTGTTTGCTGTGGTAGGTGTGGAAGCTGTAGAATTCCTAAGTGAGCTGTGCGAAGGGAGAAGCTCGTGCTGCACTGAGGCAAGCTTGGAGAGCATTGTGGAAAAGAAATAGGGGTTGAGTTGTGGTCATGAGGAAGAGGCCTAGTGCCCTTGTTTTTTTTTTTTTTTCATATTTGTAGGGTGGATTTTTCCCAGGAAACTCAAATTCTGGGCCTCAAACATGTGTGCCTCAGGTTCCTGACAGGCAGGTGGAGTTCAGGTTAGATGTTGTATTTTTTGAGAATGGGCCTTTCTCTGACAAATCTAGAGATGTTCCAGGGCTGTGTTCCAAACATATATTGTTTAATGTTGGCTGACAATGGCTGAGCGCCAATGTACACCTGGCTGGTTGCCCTAGCAGTTAAAATTTGGCTCATGGAAAATTGTAGGCTGGATTAGTGGAGATATCAAATAGAGTTTTGTGGTGTAACACCTACTGACCTACTAAGTTATAATCACTCACCCCACCCAAATGTACTGAGGGAGTATTTTTTTCCCATCTGAAAATCCCAAGTGCTACCAAGCCTGATACCTGTTGTGTGTAAACATGATGTCACAAGAGGAAAATTCCTTTTCTGACTTCACATGGCAGATTACAGTCAAATGGAGGCACATTAGAAATATTATCTAAAATCACATTCAGGCTAGGTATATAAGGTATATGGAAAACATATATTAGTTTTGTGCTCAGGCTTGGGTCCCATTCCCCAAATACCTCACAAAGTATATATAAATAATCCAAAATCTGAAAAAAAAAAATCCGAATTCTGTAACACTTTTGGTCTTAGGCATTTTGAATTAGGGATACTCAGCCTGTGTCAAGACTTCTCAGCAAGATTTTTGGCTCATGAATGGCAAAGCCACACTCTTAGTCTTCAGCCCTGTGTTATTCTTTCTCTATCTGAAAGAAAAGTTTTGCTTCGGCAGCATGACATTTAATTGTCTTATTCTTTAGTGGTCAGGAGCTGGTGATTCTTTGGAAAATGGATTCACACCACCTTCATATGTGCCCTTTTTCCAGCAGCCTTTATGATTGATTTGGCAGAGTGGAAAAGCTGTGTAGACCTTGATCTGGACTCCTGTTGGGTCTCAGAATTGTGGAATTGTTAATCCCATTAGTGTAATTCTACTTCAACTTGCTGTGGATTTTTCCCCTCCTCTTCTCATGAAGACTTAGGACGTAGAGGAGAACCTTGAGAAGTTCCTGTAGTGCTTTTGTTGAACTAAAGGAAACTCTTGGCGTTTGCATAGTGTTTATTTCCCCTGAAAGGGCCCCTATTCAATTTATATATTATACACCTAGAGGCATATTGTTGCAAAAGTGTGATGACTTCATCTGAGAGCTTGTATCTGGCAGCTGGCCCTTTAGGGAATCTAACCAAACTGTTTTCCAGCTTAATAATGAATGAGGTGTTAATGACTCTCATGTTGGACAAATAACTTGGCCTCGCCAGAACAACCCAATACAGCAGTATTCTCTGTTGCTGTATTAACTTACAGAGTATGGTGTAATCCAAGCCTGCTGAATGCTTTTCTGACTTCAGCTTCTGTCAACCAGGCAGATGGAAGTCTGAATGTCCTTGAACAGAAAGCAGGGATGGTCTCGGGAGGAAGTCATACCTGGTTGATTATATCTTAGAAGTGGCAGTCCAAAATCTGGCTTTCTCACCCAACCCACCCCTCCACCTTGGGCTTCTATTTGGGAACTGGTCAAGTCATAATTAAGGGTGAGAGAGGGTCAGTGAGATCAATGAATACTGTCAATTGCTAACAGTTAGAGAGATCATGGTTGAAATATAGAAAGTACAGTACACAGAACAAGGACCACAGTAGAAATATCCTCTAATAGATAGCCCGGTTCTGTGGCCGCACCTGCTTCCTGCAATGGCTATATCCCATATGGATGCTGATCCAAGTCCTGGCTGCTCTGCTTCCAATCCAGTCCCTGCTAATGTGCCTGAGAGAGGAGCAGAAGAAAGCCTGGGTGCCTGAGCCTCTGCACTTGTGGTGGGAGACCTGGATGGAGTTGCTATCTCCTGGCTTTGGCCTGACCTAACCCAACCCTAACCACTGTAGCCATTCAGGGAGTGAATCGTGGTTGGAAGATCGATCAGAGACACAAATAACAAGCTGATGTCATCATAGAATAATTATTTTATATGATATTTTAAGAAATGAATTTTTGTAGTTAAAAGCCAGTGTTTAGATAAGCCAGCTTTAAAAATCAGTTATTCTCTTTATTCTATAAGGCTTTCCGGTCAGTCAGCCCACCTTTATCAGGTTAATTTTTTCTTCTTTCTACTTCTTCCCAGATGACAAGTGAAGAGAGCAGAAATATTGTCATTGGAAAAGCTGCTCAGGGTTCCCCTTGTTCCTGATCTCTGTGAAAGTGTGATAAGGAGTAGCAGGGAGAAGAGGCCCGGCATGCCTAAATGGAAGTTAGAATTTGTGTCTGATGGTCTTGAGCTGGACCTTTGTTTCTGACAGTCGAGCACTTGATTTCATGCTTTCAGCTTGAAAATGTCCTTGGGTAACGGCGTTTGCCTTCAAATCATTAGACATGCAGACTTCACTCTTTGCTGCAGAAGCCTGTCTGACAGGCAGGTAAACAACATGATGCTTCCTCTGGAAAAGTGAGTTATAAATATTCAATTCAGAGCCCAGACCGTTGGGTACCTTCCTTTGTCATGGAAACAGGGACCTGAGATGTGGAGAGGAGGGGGAAGCCAGCAGCAGGCTAGGGCTCTAATGGGGGCTCCAGGCTTCTTGGAACCCTCTGCCTTTATCAGAGGCCTTGCTGCAGCACGGGGAGGTGAGGACTCCTGCCCCAGCAACCAGGAGGCATGGATGGTTCCAGAGAGGCGAGAAGCCGATTCCTGGGTGAATGGGTTATTATGCATAGCCCTTTGTCTAGTGGTGCATCAAGCCTATAATTGTGGAGTACATAAAGCAGAAAAAAAAAAAAAAGGAAGGACAGAGGAAGGGAAGGATAGGAGAGAGGAAAGTATGGCTATTTTAGAATTCTAGCTATGAAATACTTGAGATTTGTTCTCTATATTAGTACACTCCTTAAAAAATAAAGTATAGAGTACCATATATAAATTGCAAGTGAATAACTAGATAAATGTCTCAAGTGTGAAACTGAGGAAGTAGGGAAGGAATTGTATAACAAATAATTCTCAGAAAAAGGATTAGGAATGGCCAGTGAGAAAATATAAGAAGATGATATTTAATTTTATTGTTAAATCGGAGCTTACAACAATGAGATGCCACTTTCTCCAAATCAAAACTGCAGTATTTATTTGCAATTTTTATTTTTAAGACAGCTTCATAATTGATATGTACCACATATATTTAGTGCATGTAATTTGATGAATTTGGACAGTTCATATACTTTTGAAATGATTGCTATGAAATGATTGCTACGAACTAATATGTGTCTCTTGGATAGGCATTGTTACCGTGGGTTAAAGCTGCTACTTGGGGTGCCTGCATCCTGTGTTGGAGTGCTTGAGTTGAGTACTGGTTCTGCCTCCAACCCAGCTTTCTGCTAATGCGCCTCAGGAGACAGCAAATCATGGCTTAAGTGCTTGGGACGTTGCTATCCATATGGGTAACTGTGTAATGGTTTCAATAACAAAAAAGAACACTTTCCTAGCCAGCCAGTGTAAATGCTTGGGCACACAGCTCTGCAGATGATTTTCTTAGGGTAGACCTCGTTTGCATATGAGGATGCAAAAGTAGCTGGAAACTCCCATGCCAAACTCAGAGCAGCAATTAACCTCAGGGAGGAGGCAGGGTCTTGAGAGAGAACCTCCAGAGGACTTTGGTCCCTTTGGTAATGATCTGTATTTTATTGCTTTTGGTTAAAAAAACAAAAACAAAACTCACTACTGTCTTCAACT